GTTTTATGGTCTTATGTGTTATTTTCTGTTAACAGTTCAATTATCAACAAGTCAACTGATAAAAGTATTACACTATTCTTCTTTTGTAGGTCCTGCAATAGGTCATTCTTACTCCTATATTGTATGACTTTTGCAACTATGACATGGAAAAGAAAGAATTTGGTCTACTTTTCACAGGTTAGTATTTGATAGTATTTATCTTTCCATAAGGAATAAAGGTTGATTGGTGTTTCCATTTCTTCCTTCTGATTGTACATTTCTTATCGGTGATTCTTTTGAAACTGCAAATGTAGATGATGAAAATTTCAATGTATTGTTTCTAACTAAATTTCCTTTACTTCTTAGAACTTGGCGCTGTTAGGGCATTGTTCTTCTTCATTGGCATGAAGAACTCAAGTCCCGGAAGACAACTCAAGAAAAAGACTTCAAAAACCAAAACCAAGGGTCTACTTTCTTGTTCGACATCTGCTTACCTTGATGAATCCAGATCGATTTTTGTAAGCTTATATCAAGGCTTTTCTCCTTCAAGTCGGTAAAAAAGGGCATATTAATTTGACAATTTGATACTGTTAAATACTAAGTTAAAGTTACATGTAGATTTAATTGAGTTCCAGAAAGAATTTGATAATTTTGCCTTTGAATTTGCTGCTTTTTTTTTTGGCTTGCCCATTTTCATGAAATTTGATAGTCCATTTTGTCAGTTTGATACTGTCTTTTTTTTTTTATTATCAATAAATTATTAATAGAATATCGACAGATTACTTACACAATTATTATATTTATTAACGAAATTTTTTATTGATAATTATCAATAAAATTTTAAATTAAATAACAGATTATTACTAACTTGCTTATTATAAAATTTTTTATTGATAAATTCCGTAAATATTACTAATGGAATTCAAGCTGTCACCATTTGTCCTTTTCAAAGAGTTTGTTCAACAAACCACTTCGGAGACTGTCGAGGATAGTACGATTATCATTCGAAAGTGAGCTGGATCGGGCTACAAAGCTGACGCACGGTTTATGTGCTCATTTGGTGTGGACAAATTTCATAAAAATTTGTGATTGCATTCGTAATTTTTTATATAATAAAAATAGTATTAGTCATAGCGTTAAATTTTTAATTACAGCTTAAATTTCGTAACTTCGAGTCCAGCGTTAGTAGTTTGGTTCACATCATTCTTTATTTAAAAAAGGTCTTAATGAATGTTGATTTTTTTTTTTTTTAACTTTGTTTTTGTATAAAGGAAGCGCATATATTAAAATTTGAATTTTATAATTTTTAAATATTATTTTTTAAAAATGCTTATATTAATGCAAATATTAAGTATATTATGCTATCTGAAGTGCAATGGAGTAGTAAAGTTAGGTTTATTTTGGGTCCAAAATAATTTTGAATTTAATTATTTCAAATTAAAATGATTTAGGATTAAAATATTTTAAATTTGAATTAACTTGAGTACTCATTGATTGTTGGATTATCTTAACTTTTTAATATTACTATATATTATTAAATTTAGAATGTCAAATGAGTTTAATCAATCTTGGAGCCACATAGTAGCTTGAGAGGGCTATGGCCCTCTTAAGAAATTTGAAAGTTACTTAGGTGTGTATAGTGTTATGCATTAATTTTTCTAAGAGAATGAATCAATTTACATTAGTATAAAATTATTTAGTTTTATATTTATTTTAACTATTAATTTCAATAGATTTAAGAGATAAGATTAAATTTTTTTTCTTTTGACTTATTTTTCTTCATTTGGATTTATAAAAATCTAAAACTAAAAAGTTTTATAGTAATATAAATTGATTTTTTTTTTAAATGTATCTCTCAAAATAATGAATGGTCCCCTCAAAGTAATATAATTATCTCTAATTTTTATTTGTAAATTTCTAGCTTATAAAATCTTTTAAAATTTTAAGAGCATTTTTTTTCACATTTAAATAAAATTTTCTGAAGATTTATTTTATAGAATAATTTACTCATAGTGTTATTAAATACTATAAACACTTGAATATTAAATAAATGACATGGTATATAAATTTTTTTAAGAAAAGTTTGAGAAGTTTGCAAATAAAAACAGTTATATATATATATATATATCATGAAGGCTAAGATAAAAATCAAAACTAATAATATAATTTAATTAAGAACTTGTTGAATATGCTACTGTATAAGTGTAATTTTTGAAAACTTTAACAAGTTACATATCGATATTGCAAGTTTTATTAATCAATTAGTTTTGATTTTCACTTTTTTATATATTTTTTTTATTTTAAATTCATAATGTTTCCAAAGAAAAATTTCATCTTTAAGGTCTCTTTGATATTATATTAAAAATTAGAAGTTTCAATAAATTAATTTATTCAGTCCGTTTCATAACTTATATTAAAAGCCATTTAATAGATTTTTTTTTTCAAGAAAAAAGTGTCTAATAAGATAAGTACATAGAGATCTATTGATCACTTATCGTAGAATACAATTTAGCCAATTTGATTTTAAAAGCAACGTTTCGTACAAAAGCTCTGCTTTTCGTTTTACCTCGATTTTAGATGATTTAGTGCTTAAATATTTTGTTATAACATATAATTAATATTAATGTTTTTTAATAATATTTTCAGTGATTCTTATAATTCAATAAAAATATAAATGAGAAACATTAATTTAATTTCTTTTATTTTAATAAGTTATTAATTTTAATTTTCTGATAATTTATATGTACCAAAACACTTTTATATAGATTTGATAATTTAAAAAGCAATATATTAATACAACATAAAAATTATATGAATAAAAAGTATAAATATGATTCGATTTAAAATTTTAACAAAAATTATATATAAGTTTAATAAAATAAAAAATACATTTTATATTTTCATGTCGATATGAATTGACACATAATTTTTATATAAAATATGTTACAAATATATTAATATTAATATTTTATACGACACAAATACATTAATTACTAGATCTACTTTTATGATAATTTTTCCTATGAAATATCACTAAAACAAAAATATTTACTATATTTTTCGAATATATATTGAGAATTTTGATCATATTCCTTTCTTTCTCAAATTTATACTTGAATAAATAAATTACATATATGTATATATATATATATGTATATGTATGTATGTATTTGTGCATATATGCTTATGTTTTCACATTTGCATGTGTACACATATAATTGACCTCTTAACTAAACATCTTGATTCCGCCATTTAATTTAAATTTCATTAATTAAATAAGAATGGATTATGTATTTAATGATTATAGAACTAAGTTATTATTATAATCAATTTAATAATTAAAAAATAAGAATTTTTAAAATTGAAAAATCATTGGTAAAAAGCTATAATAATTGCTCCATTAATTAGTGAGAATGAAGAATTCGATCAAATGACCTTATGTTCGTGCCTAATTAAACTCTAAATAAAAAAGGTGTAATGTAATTAGAGATGTAAATAAGTCGAGCTATTCATGAGTAATTTAGGTTCGACTTGAAAAAAATACTCAAACTTGTCACATTTATTATCGACTTTAGCTTGAGTTACTTGTGTTACGAGTTGAGCCAAGTTTAAATAATTTAATATCTAACTTGAGAGGCTTAAGAGCTTAATTGATTTTTATTATATAAAATTTAATGTCAACATTTACAATGTTATATAAAATTTAATTAAGCCTACCAAGTCAAGCTAGAGTGGTTCAATTAAATTACAAGTTGAGTTTGAATATAAAAAATTAAAACTTGACCAAGCTTGAGTTAAGCATCCAGCCTTAAGTTTTCCAATCAAACCTAAAATGAAGACTTGGAAAATCACTTAGGTAATTTGGATGAGTTCTATTTTAGTCTAAACTTTGTAAATCAATCAGGATTACTTGTAAAACATTATTGTCAATGATGGATTAGTAAGAGACCTTAATCTTCATCCATCATAGACTATAAACGAAAAAGATTTAATTTGAGTATGAGTATTACACTAATCTATATGGAAGCATGAAACCTCATAAAAATACAAATACTTTATTCCATCCTAAAAGGACGGAGTTTAAGTATAGAGCTCATGTATACATGTGCAGAAAGTGTGTGCAAAGAAAACCATTAATTGCTAACAAACTTAAAATAAAAGAACAAAAATAAAAATAAAAAAAATGGAAGAAAAAAAATCAAGCAAAAACATTAAATTTTTTAATTCTTAGATAACAAAAAATCTACTATTGGCCTGACTCTCCACATGTCTGCAGCGAAATCATTAAATTATCATAATGTATAAGTTTGTAAATTTAATCGATAGAGACAATCTTAGGAGATGCTATCAATATTTTTTTATTTAGATACGATTGACCATCTAACTTAATCTGTCTCCTTTTAAAAAATGATCCCAACCTAACTTGATTTTCTCAAAAGTGTAGATTTTAGTCTACAAAATCAAATAAAGTTCGAGAGTATAATTACGTATAAAAAATGTTATAACAACCCTGCAACGTCTATTCAAAGGTTGATACAAACTAATTTTATGTGATTTATTAAGCCACAAAAGATGTTGAAATTTTATTGAATAATTTAATACTAAAAATTATTCTTAAAATTACTCCAATAGTGTCGTAGCAATTTAAAAAAAATTTTTTACCTCAGAAGTATTCAAGGAGAATACTGTCACTCTCTAAAGAAGCTTTATTGTCAAATTCATTAAGATTTCCAAGAAATTATTTTTTTAGCAAATCAATAAAATCTTTCAATAGTTTAATAAAATTTTATTTTGAGATTTAAATCCTTAAATAGTTTGGTAAAATTGAATAAAACATTTATAAATTTAATTTTTTTTAAAAAAGATTATTAAACATTTCAATAGTTTGATAAAATTTAATTTCAAGATTTAAAATTTTCAGTAGTTTAGTAGGATTAATTTTAAAAAATTATTTTTTAAAAAAAGTCATTAAACTTTCCAACAGTTTGATAAGATTTAATTTCAAGATTTAAATTCTTCGATAGTTTGATAGGATTAAATAAAAAATGTTAAACTCATAAAATTCTCCCATCCCTTAGTGAAAGTTTTTTCATCTTTTTGTGTGGATTATTATTAGAGGTTGTACAATTGAATAGCTACTGGTTTGCTACAACTGAGTTTGAAGGTTCTTGAATTTTCTTAAAGCCATCACAAGCAAAGTAGGAAAATTTGTTTATGCCAAAACACGTATACTGTTTTGTATGATCTTATCAACTTGATCCTTATTCTTTGGGAGATGAAAAATTTTAAATTCCACTACTTTATATTTTGATCTCAATGTTCAAGTTCCAAAAATGGTATCAAAGTCAAGTTGATTTAGATTATACAAACTCAAAGTTATATGGTTGTTCTTGATATAAAAAATTGTTTTGTTTACATTTATCCATTGTGAGAAAACAACTAAAAAATAACTTTTTCTATTTGTTTTGATTTGATTCTTTTAGAATATCAAAGCATAACGCCTTAAGATGATTAGGTATCAATTTATGATTTATGAACATTGTTTGCATGTCTTATAAATTATTTGCTTGCAATCTATACATAAACAAGAAAATTCTATAAAAGTGATTTTATGAAAATTATTTCTCACTCTTGGGTTATCAATTTGCTATGAAATTTTAACACATGAAAATAGATATATTTATTATGATTTTGTTAAAGTTCCAGAATCTTTGGAGTTGATTTGGTCATTTAAAAATTGATGACAATATCTGTCCAAAAATTTGTCTCTAGAGCTAGCATATATGCGAAAGGTTTAAGATGCATAAAACCATAATTTGATTATGGTATTAGGTTTTCTTGATGTGGTTGGTACTCTTAATTGTTAAGGACCTTAAAAAACCTATTTACTAAAATTTTGATGAAAATTAACTTGGTAATCAAGATTGGGAATCTTAGAATACTTGTTCATCAAGATTTTAAGATTTGCTTTTTTAATCAAGTAAAATGAATTATTTTTCTCAAAACCTTAGTAATTATTGCTTGTGGTTTAAAGATTATAACCACAGGCATAGGAAAGCATGTCAAAGAGTTTAGAACTCTTGATTGATGGCACTTGGGTGTGGCACGGGCAGCCAAACCCAAAACAAGCAAGCTTTCTATAAGGGAAAACCCTAGTTATAAGACACTTTCCTATTTTGAAATAGGATTCGGACAAACCTTATTGTAGTAATGCTTCTTGTTAAATTTGGATTCCTAAATGGTTTAGAACATAACAAATTAAATTTCATTAAAAGTCCAAATTAGAGCAAAACTCCTAAATTGTTTAGAACTTCTAATGAACAAGAAAACTATTTCACCACTAAATCTAGTATGACTAAGAATACCTAATGTTGGTAATTTGCTTTGGATATAATTAATTGATAATTATAATATTTTAGAACTGAAATAAACACATTATATTAATTTCCAAGTTAAATTATGATTCTTTAATAGTTTAGGAAACATGATTGCAAATTACAACTCTTAAAACATAAAATAGACGCATTCGGCCACTTTGTTACAATATGTCTATACCTTGTGTCACAATAAGTTAGTTATTATTTGATCTATGATATAGATTTGATTCAAAAGAAATAATTGTAAGATCATAAACTTGAATCAAACATGTTGGTTATTGATGTACAAAGTAGTATGTATGCTAATTATAAGATAAATACCATGCATGCTATGATAATGAATGAATGTAGTATACATGTTAATTATGAGATAAATATTGTGTGCTATGTTGAATGGGTGAATGTACATGCTAGATTTTATATATATTTTAGTATGATAAATGTCATGTATGTTTGCAAAAAGTATGATAAGGTTATATGTATGTGATATATGTTGAATTTTATGCATTCTATATGAGACCTAAATTGAATAAAATCCTTCATCAAAACATTAAGTACATGTTTCACAACATGAATGGTTGCCTTCCATTATCATATCAAAATGAGTTTTTACTAATGAGGGCTTGTTGGATAAACTCATGGCACTTTTTATTTGAAATATGTTTATGTTATGATTAATGGGTCCGACTTAACTTGCATATATGATTTGGATGAATAAAATTATGATCATATAAAGTTAGAGTCAATGATTAAGTGAATCACATAAGATGTGATTAGACAAGGAGTTTTCATCAAATTGATCTAAAAGTCACATTGGATGTAATTGATAAGCAAAGTTAGATACCTAATTTACTTATCATAGCTTATTGGGTAAACTCAAGGTTGTGATAAACTAAAAGGGATTTTAACCCACTAAAAAAATATGATTTTTTTGAATTAGTGGTGGGTCTTATTAAATTGAAGAAAATAGTGGAAGAAACCAATATATAAGCTTAAACCTTATCTATATTGGATTCGAACAATATGACTAATTCATATTTTATAGGTTGCTAGAAAAATGAGTAATAACTTGTCACTTCGTAGCATACTTAATGCTAATAAGCTCATTGGGCCTAACTTTAAAGCTTTGTATTGCAATGTTAAACTTTTGCTAAAGTAAGAGAAAATACTTTATGTTCTTAATAAGTCGATTCCTAAGGAACTAGATGCTAATGTTGAAGTAGTTTCGAGGGTTTAGGAAACCCACAAGATCATGTTGAACAAATTGCATGCATTATGGTAACTAGTATGATCCCCAAGTTACAAAGGCAATATAAGAATATAGATACTCTGAATATCATTTTCCACCTTAGAGAATTGTTTAACAAACAATGATAGACAAAAAGGCTCAAGACCTCTAAAGAATTGTTTCGAACAATAATGTTTAAAAGTACTTCAATTAAAGTGTATTGTCTTAAGATGATCAATTAGATTGAGAAACTTTTATGATGGATCATGAGTTAAGCATTGACTTGATCCTATCATTTCTTCCTATAAGTTTTTCATAATTTGTAATGAACCTTATTATACATCCGATAAAAGTGCCATTACCACAATTAATGAATATACTAGACACTGTCAAAAAATCCATAAAGAATTAAAAGCTTAATACTCTTTTAGTTTTTTAATTTAAGACCAACAATAAGTCACCTAAGAAGAAAAAAAAAAAACAAGATGGCCAAAAAGAAAAAAAAAAAGACATCTAAGGTTGTCAACCTTATTGGTGACATCAAGAAAGATAAAGGTGCATGTTACCATTGTAGTAAGGAAAGTCATTAAAAGAGGAATTGTCAGGTTTACTTAACAAGCTTGAAGGACAAGATGTCTAAAAAGACTTTTTTTCGGGTATGTTTATGATTAATACCAATATATTTTTTTTAACACATCTTCTTGGGTGTTAGATACCGTATGTGATTCTCATTTATGTAATGACAAACAAGGACTAAAAAATAGTATATCTTTAAAAAAGTGAAAGTCTCTTTACGAGTTAAAAATGGAACAAGTGTTGTTGCATATGTCGTGGGGATTTATTATGTGCCTTTACCTTTTGGTTTAATTTTAGAATTCAAAGATTTTTATTATGTTCCAATAATTACTAGAAACATCATTTCAGTTTCATGTTTACGTATGAATGATGGTCTTTCATTTAATATTAAGGACAATTATTGTTCTTTTTATCTAAATAATATCTTTTATGGCATGGGAACTTATGATAATGATTTGTTTGTTCTTATATTAAATAATGATTTTCTCAACATAAATATCTAGAAACCTAAATTGGATAAGCCAAATCAATCTTAATTGTGGCATTGTAAACTTGATCATATTAATAAAACAAGAATCACAAAGTTACATAAACTAGGATACCTTGATCCTTTTGATTATGAATCATATGAAACTTTTAAGCCATGTTTACTTGGTAAGATGACCAAATAACCTGTTATTGGAAAAAAAGAATGAGCTTGGATTTATACATTCAGATGTATGTGATCCAATGAATAAAAAAGCTATAGGATGTACTCTTAATTCATTACATTCATTATTGACCATTTAAGGCATGGTTATGTGTATCTAATGAAAAGCAAATATCTAATGAAACACGAATCTAAATCCTTTGAAAAGTTTAAAAATTTTAAAAGAGGGGTTAAGAAATAATTTGGCAAAAACATCCTAACATTAAGATCAGATAAAGGTGGAGAGTACTTAAGTCATAAGTTTTTAGGCTATCTAAAGGAGAATGAGATTCTCTCTCAATGGACTCCACTTAGAACACCACAACTCAATGGAGTTTTTAAAGGAAAAATAAAACCTTGTTGGACATGGTTTGATTTATGATGAGTAATTCAAAACTTCCAATACCTTTTTGGGATTATACACTTAAAATAACTGTTTATCTTTCAAATAGAGTTCCATTTAAATTCATTAACAAGACACCATATAAGATATGGGAAGGTAACATAACTCTAAACTTGGGGTTTGGCTCCACTATAGACAAGACATATCCCTAATTCTTCTTAAGTACTTAAGGATCGCTTTTACAACCTTCACAGTGAGATTCACCTAGATTTGTTTGATATTTACTTATTATGCTTAAGGCGTAAGGGACATCAAGGCTTTATTTAAAGCATTACATACATAATAGATCCAATTGTCAAAGCATTGCATATATAATAGATCCAATCACCATTTATAGTAAAAATATAGCCACTTTGAGATTTGCTATCATCTTTGTCTGATTGAAAGCTTGTATCACATAACTCTAAATTTGGGGTTTGGCTCTACCATAGACAAGACATATCCCTAGTTTTTCTTAAGTACTTAAGGATCACTTTTACAACTTTCATAGTGAGATGCACTTGGATTTGTTTGATATCTACTTATTATGTTTAAGGCGTAAATGACATTAATGCCTTATTTAAAGCATTGCATACATAATAGATCCAATTGCCAAAGCATTTGGAACTTTACCCATGTAATCTTTCTCAATTGATGTTTTAGGACACATTTCTTTAGAAAGATTTATGCCATGCAACATTGGTAAGAATCTCTTTTTGGAATATTTCATGTTAAATCTTTTTAGCATAGACTTTTATTCTAATATGTATATTGCTTCTCACAAATCCTTTATGCAAAACTTCTATGATAACCAAATCTTTGTAGATTGTAACATGAATATATCATTTCCTATAAGCAATATGTCCTCTATATATAGCATTATAAAAATGATTGCACTCCTACTAGTTTTCTTGTATGCACAAGTTTCCTCTATGTTTTTTATGAAACCAAATTCTGTAATTGCCTCATAAAAACATATGTTCCAATTCCTTGATGCTTACCTGAGTCTATAGATAGACCTTTGAAGCTTGCACACCTTGTTAGTATTCTTTTTGGATTCAACATGTACATTTTTTCGTGCAAATTCCTATGAAAAGATGCAATTTTGACATCCATTTGTCATATCTTATAGTCATGGTATATAGTTACCCCAAGCAAAATCTTAATGGATTTTATCATGGCTACGGGTGAAAGGGTTTCACTAAAATTAACTCATTGTTTTTTATTATATCTTTTTGCAACTAGCATGGCTTTGTATGTTTGTATATTGCACTCCATGTTGGTTTTCTTATTGAAAACCCATTTACACCCTATGAGTTTTATCATTTTGGGTGGTTACACCAAAGGCCAAACTTGGTATGCATACATGGATTTCATTTTGGATTTCATGGTTCATGCATTTTCTCATAATCAATATCTAACATTACTTCTTGATAAAAAGTAGAATCATCATTTATGATCAATTCATTCTTATCTATGAAAAATCCATCTTTTCGAAACTTAACGAATTTTACTTGATTTACATAATTCTTGTTCAGTTTGAGCTTTTAGCTGTGTATCTGATATGCTTGCCTTCAACTCAAGTTTTATTCTTGTGTCAATTTATGTTTCTTGAACTTTTTCACATTTTACTTTATTCCTATTGCTTTCTTCTAGTATAATTTTTTTTTTTAAGTAAAATTTCATAATGGAAACAAACACCTTTTGTTCCTCAAAATTGTAGAAGTAATATCCAATTTATTCCTTTGGATATCCCACAAATTTACATTAAATTGATTGAGCTTTAGCTTGTTAGTTTGTGCATATTTCACATAATGCTTTAAATAAAGCCTTGATGTCCCTTACGCCTTAAGCATAATAAGTAAATATCAAACAAATCTAGGTGAATCTCACTATGAAGGTTGTAAAAGCGATCCTTCAGTACTTAAGAAGAATTGGGGATATGTCTTGTCTATAGTGGAGCCAAACCCTAAGTTTAGAGTTATGTGATACAAGCTTTCAATCAGACAAAAAAGATAGCAAATCTCAAAGTAGCTATGTTTTTACTATAAATGGCGTAGCAATAAGTTGAAAAGTTTCAAATAGTGTACAATTGTCGATTCTACAATCGAGGCTGAATATATAACTGTATCTAAGGTCGTAAAAAAAGCAGCTTGGATCAAGAAGATCATAGTTGAACTAAATGTTATTTATAAAATTGTTGATCCTACAATAATTTATTGTGACAACAATGGAATGATAGCTCAAGCAAAGTAACCAAGGTCTCATTAAATATTCAAACATGTATTGAGGGGATATCATCTCATCAAAGTTCTCATTCTTTGACAAATAATACATTACCTTGGCATATAATAGTAGCATAATATTTTTATCATAATATATTAACACATTAAATCACATTGTTGGATTAAAATTAGAATCCAATTAAGTAAGACTTAATTAAATAAAAGTTAAGTGAATGACTTAATTGAAGTGTTCAATTAAAATTATTAGGCTAAATTTGGAATTATGGTAATTCCAAGATAAGGTTGTGGCATGACAAGGGTTATAAAACCATGTAAGCAGCACTTTACATGTAAACAAGGTTATTTGGTTTTTCCTTTCACTTTTTCTTCCTAAGTACACATGATAAAAATAAAGAATAATAGTTTCTCTCTAAGGGTTCGGCCAATAAGGAAAGAAAATTTTTGATTTATCATATGAATGATTATATAAATTGTTTTTAGCTTCAAGCAATGTTATCAAGTGATCCTTTGAGGTTTCAATTTTGTTTGTTCAAATTATGTTGATGATTTTGTTTTTGCTATGCATGACTCGTGTTTAAGCTGTTGCTATATGTCTTAAAAGCCAAATTCGCTTTAGGAGAATACATTGTCATATTACTTTATTTGATAATTATAATGTCTTGTTTTGTTTATCATTGAGCTTATATATTGCTATTGCTTATGATTACATGATAAAGTACTAAAAGTAACTAAGTGAATTACAATGAGATTGTAATCATGAGATCATCATTATGTAAAAGTTATATTCGTGAATGTTCCTAATTGATGCTTTAGCAATATAAGGGTATTGATAAAAGGTGTTGAGATTGGTACATGATTATACTTTTGCTTATAAAATAAGCATCCAATCTTATAGGTTGAAATTTGAAAAAAGTTGAACTAACATGTGAGTGCTTATTACAAGAACAAGTTCAATGAACATGACCCGTAATGAGAATGCCGTATGGTAGTTCACATAGTGTTTATAGTAATATTCTCATATAATAGTTGTATAAGTGATCATTTGACTTGAAATTACTTATGATCTTATATGATGAATATTATACTTTAACTTCACTTTACATGGACTTAATCATGGATGCCTTAGTAGGGTATTGTTGAGTGTAACATGAAGCAAGTGAAAATACTTGAAGTAATCACTATAAAATTCATCATTTTGTGTGATCAAGTGAATATCTCACTTAGTCTTGATTAAATTAACTCAATAAATCTTTGGTCAAAGTGGAATGAGCTTTTAAAATAGATCTAAAGCATATTCTGAGAGTTAATATCAAAGCCAAGACTTAATATGGTTGAACAAAAATTGAATAGGCCCTAATCAATGCTCAATGTTATAATCAAGATATTATGTGATGAAAGGATATTAGTTATATTGCAAGACTAAGCACGTATAGGTTTGTCAAAACACATTGACATTCCTTAACAATTGTGGGCCATGACAATATAATTAGTATTGGTCATGCTCTATAAATGTAAGATTGATTAATTAGAGAATTAATTATGAAGTCAAAATAGTTTCGATTCATCTAATCCAAAACATAGTAGAAGATTACAATACTCATATTTATTGCCAATATTTAAGGAACCTAATGGATCATACACAATAAAACAAGCTAATAAAAAATTAAAATTAAGAAAAATTAAGTTGCACGTAGTTTACTAGGGTAAATACCCAAAATGGGGAAAAAGTAAAGTTCCAATGCCTTTACATTATGCAATTCGGCGCAGAAAATGAAACGAGATAAGACGTTTAAGCGCACTTATTGAATCAGATACAGTTAAAAGTAAGAATTTTAAAATTCACCTGCAATCAATCAGAACCACCGTGCCCCAGCCTCTCCTGTGATAAAAGAAACAAAAGACTTAAAAAAAGTTAGGGGAAAAAATGGAGAGCGACTAAGTTGCCATATGGGATTCTTTAAATGTGATTTAAAGAATCAGAGATTTAAATGAATTAATCACCTTAGTTTCAGCGTAAGAAAAGAGCAAATATATAATTCTCGTAAATCTGGTTCTGATCAGTTAATGCTTTTGCCTTGGAAGTATCATTTCTGATATGGGCAAGGTTTTGGTCCAATTCTCCCAGATTGTTTTGCAATTCCAGTAGTTCTTTCTTCAGATCTGCTACCTTTGATTCCCAACTTTTCCGCTTCTTCAATATTTTCTTGTTTCCATCGGTCTAACAAACAAAAGCGAAAAATCAAGAACTTGAAGTGATTCAAAAAAGGGAAAAAGTTAATTAAGTTACTAACCTCAGATTTATGCTGATTCTGCTGGGAAACTCTCAGTTCACTTTCCTTTCTTGGCGCCATGGTATTCTTTCCTTTTCTCTTCACTCTGCCCATCAGTAAGTCAAGGAAAATGTAATCTTTGCTTAGATAATTAAACTTAGATACATACATTTATTTGTTCAATTTTTTTATCTCATCAAACTAAAATGAAAGCAATGAAATATTTTGATGGATCAAATCAACTTCTACTTAATTACAACTTTTTTCTCAAAGATCAATTATAATCAATTTTTTTTTAATTACCAAGAACTTACTATACCTCAAGGTTTTCTTGCCGGAGTCAAAACAATTCTTCATGTTTATGTCCACGGAGACAGAGAGAATTCAACAGCAGAGGGCAGCTCGGTTAGGGTTTTTCTCTGGCTGAGTTCTGATGGTTCCTTTCTGTGTTGGGTTATAACGAGTTTACTTTCACTTTTTAGTTTTGAACACTTTTCCGAGCATAAATATCAATTGCCTTCCGTATATCATTTTATTGGATCTCTAAATCATTAGAATCTAATAAGTATATCCGAACGATTGAATAATTTATTTATTTTTAAATTTTTTATAAAAATATTAAAAATAATATTATAAACGGTAAAATTATTAGATAAATTGACTTATCTTGACTTGAGAAAAGATTTTTCAAAATCAAGATCTAAATTAGAGACAAATAGAATTTTAAAAAAAAGAATTGAAATCCATTCGGAGCTGCATTTTAAGATGTTTTGTCATGATCTGTTTCGTGATATATAAATATATTATTTATTTATTTATTTTTATATATATTTATATATTATATTAATAAAATTAATATTTCATATTTAATATTTTAATTTAAAATATTATCTTAATAAAAATATTATATTTACATATAATTAAAATATAATTTATATTTAAAATTAATATTTTATAAATATTATATTAAATTAAATTTGTTAAATTAATTTAAATCAAATATGTCTTTTATATATATATATATATAAAGTCAAAATCGAGTAAAAAATAATAATTTAATGTCAAATAAAAACGTGATGATAACTTCCAGGAGTATGGTGTCATCTTTTGATAATACCACATTTTTTTTATATTCCCTGTATCTTTTTTTTAAAAAACATATTTTTGTTCTTGAATGTCCTAAAATTATATATCTTTTTGCAACTAATATTTTTAGTTATTTTTTCTATATTTCTATATTTTTTCATGATCTCTTACATTAAAAATTATGAAAAATTAATTTTATAAAATATTTTTAAAATCAAATAAAGATAAGTGATTTGGACAGGATTGTATAGGAAACAATGTTTGTGTCCAAAGTGAACAATAGAAAATCATAAATTTAAGAATCATTTTAATTTTTAAAAATTTTATGATTTGTACCATTGTTTTTTTCTTTTTCTTTTTTCTTTACCTTCCCCTTCCAAAGCTATTTGTGAAAGAAGGATACGCATGGGCAGAATGAATTTTTAATTAATTAATTTGTTATTAAAAAAATATGAATCACTAACATAACACGGATGATTATGACACTTTCTTCGATACGAGACTTTCTTAACATTACGCGTCATCCAATCACTGTCAATGTTTGAGATGAGAACAAATTCTAGACAAAACGTTAATTTTTGTATCTTGTGTGGATAATCTAACAATGGACTAAAAAGACTTACTAATACAAATCCTATTACAATGACACTCGCTAAAATTTTAAATAAGTCTCTAAACTTTCACACTTTATTTAAATAATCTTTTATTTTTTATATATCTTTTATGTCTTAGCTAGAAGGAGCTGATATACATGGTCGAGGGTTGTAAGGTCTAAACTTGTAGCCAAAAAATATAGTCAAAGGGCACCAAAATTGTTGCTACGGGATGCACTTCAATACTTAAGTCAGTAAGGTATTTGAAAAAGGATGAAAAAAAAGGTAAAGGTGCATGCAGGAGGTTTTAATGGAGGGAAAGCATAAGTGTGAAGTATATGGATTGTCTTACATACTTAAGTTTTCTTATTAGTTTATGTATGAAACAATGGATGGTTACTTGATAGGGATAGTGGACTATTGATGAAAAGCATATGTTGAGCTTTGAAAAGGGTCCATATAGGTGGCTACGAGTCGCATTTAATGATCTCAAACAAGCGTAGGCTACATTTAACGGTCCTAGCAAGTTGAAAGCCAAAAGTTTAATTCTAATGTGATACCTTAATAGGACATTAGTAGAGACGTTAGATGAGTTATTCCCTTGGCGAGAGGTGAGCCATTTCTCTAGGTATTGATAAAGTAGCAACCTGGGCATGCATTGTTTGGGTGACCCAGGGTTTGATCGCGTTAACCAGGTAAATGGACGTAACAAATTGCCCCCAAGGTCTGAGAAGGATTATAAAGTGATTGCCTTCAAACCATTCTCCAAAACCTGAAAAGAAAAATCCTTTAGTGAAAAGGCAACTCTGGCTTAGCAAGTTGATTGTGGTGACGTGTCCCTATGAGATGAGAAAAGTGTCGTTGGCGAGAAGTTTTACTAGCCTATCCCTATGATGCTAGACAAGTGCTCTCGATGAGCTTGGCTAGTGATGTGTTATTCTAGAATGAAATGAATGTTCCTAGGCAATCTATATAGTTGATCAAGTCATAAAGAATAGTAAGTGAGGATATAGAAAAAATTTTTGTGAAATTCTAAGACTTATTTATGGAGTGTGCGTGAGTGGAACACATTAGTTGGGGTAGTGTATGGCATGCACCCATGTTTTTTACTATTATGGTTAATCCGAATACGTGTTGCGTTAGGAATGAAGGGCTATCATTTGTAATTAATTGGTGCAATTTTTCAAACTACACCGATTTAAGAAGGAATATATGTTTTTATTTTTTTGCAAAAAGGTAACTCAAGGGTTTTTTAAAGGGTTTAATTTCGTACCATTCATGAACCTATTAAAACAGGTCAAACAAGTGCCATTTAGAGGTATTGATTCACTTATACTATTTGATTGGGTATAAAAAGAAGGATTTAGGAAATTTTAGACTTCACTTATGCTTAAGAGAGATTGTGTTGCTTCTTGCTTTCTATTTTCTACAATTCCTAGAATTTGTTATTGCCAGGAGATTTCTTGTAGGTAAGCATTTTTGTTTCTATCTTTTGTTTATTGATTGGGATATTTGTGAGAAAGAAAAAGCAATGGCACCAAAGAGAAAAATAGTTATTTTAAGTGTTGAGGAGAAAGGTAGGGCACAAGCCACTAAAACCGGTGGCCAAAATGAGGAGAGAACTGCTAAGGAAGCCTAGGGTAGGGTTAAAGGCAGTCAGAATAAAGGTTGTTAAAACTAGGGTGGTCGTGGTAGTGGAAGTCACGGTCAAGGCATAGTTATTAGGGAGGTTGGGGCTTTTCTAAGTGATGTGAATGCCCCTACAGCTGCAAAAGGGAAAAGAAAAAAAAAAGACCAAAGAAATGGGGTAGTAGTGGAGAAGCCAAAGGATTTAGCTTTGAAAGGAATTATGCATTATACATAGAGTTAAAGTAGTAGAATTTTTTTTAAAATTTTAATTTCCTAAAGTCAAGATCAATAAAAATAATCATACAAATACACAACATCACAAGCATGCATGGGTTTCGGCTTAGGTAATTACCTTAGATGTCGAAATTCTTTGGTTAAGTTTGGTGATCTTCCAAATAGTTTTCTAAGCCAAGAAGCTACCCAAGTGTTCAACCTCTAACGATGATTGACATGAACTCTTGTGAAATAACCTTCTACAAGGTTGGGTGAACTAAAAGCCACACTTTAGCTAGTAAATGTTTTCAAAATCTCTTGTTTTTCTCTCAAGTTTTTGCTTAGACTCTCTTAACTTATTTTTTCTTGAATGAATAGTACAAGAATTGTCATATAATTGTACAAGAGAGGGACAGCTTGATGTTTCTTTTATAGGGGGAGTATTCAACCACATTAGATTTAATTCATGGAATACATGTTTCCATAATTAACCATATGCTAGCCGAATGCACCAAAACAAGGGAAACTCTTTCTCTTGTTTTTATTTCCTTTATTTTTAGTTATACCAAAATCAAATTAAGTCAACTTAATTTATTCCAATTTTAATTTTTTATGATTGTTCTATTGTGTGTGACCCATTGATAGGGTGATCTACAAGCCACAAAATTGATAAATAATATAATAATAAATAAAGTATTGTTTCCACGAAGATGAGAGTAACAAGTATTGAAATTTTATCACCCTTTCTTATACTTGGATAAATCAATTAAAAAGTAATAGAACTAAGCAAATAAAACCTAAAATAAACTAAACAAACTTTAAATAAATCAACTTAAGCAAAACAGAAACTAAAATATGCAATATATAGCAAAACTGAAACCGTAATACTTTTTATAACCTTTAAACATGCAATAGAACCAAAATAAACCAAAACAGAATTAAACTAAACCAATATATGAAACCCTTAAAACTAAAATCCTAATCTCATGCAATTTCTTAAAGCCTTAAAAACAAAAACCCTAAACTAAATTAATGAACCCTAAAAATCAAGTAAAAGCATAATAATAGAAACTTGTTAAATCGATTACTACTTAAACCAAAGGAAACATGCAAGAACTTAAATATATAAATCAATAATTAAACCTAAACATGCATACTAAACAAATTAAATATAAACCGAAATTAAATCCCATCTTTAACTATATAACCAAATCTTTAAATCAAGATTAAACATGCAATTAAGTGAACTGAACTAAAACAGAACCTTAATCAAATAGATCTACCTAAAGATTAAGCAAGAACATAATTGATATAAGCAAGAAAACAAAATCGAATATAAAGATGAAATCTTTAAACTAAAGTGCATAAATTGAATTGAAAAAGAACTTAAAACTAGAAATTGATTGCTTAAAAACTTAAAAAGAATGTACTTAAACTAATCTTGAAAACTAGAAAATTAAAAGAACATTAAATCTTTAAAATAGAATATTGAAAACTGAAGAAAGCATAAAGAAAACTTAGAACAAGAAAACTTAACTTGCTAAGGTTGGTTTGTCACCCTAACCTCTTACAAATTTTTTTTGTAAGAAGAATATGATGTTTTTATAGGCAATAGAAACCTTAAAGATCTTTAAGTAGGTTGGGCTGAAATGGGACTTCAAGAAGACTTTATAGTTTTGATTGGACTTGGTTTCTTCAATCTAAGAATGCTTCTTCAACTAAGACTCTTAAAAGAAAGCTTTCAGATTTTTACTATACCATAACTCATGTAGCAACTCTTTCATACCATATATCAACTTAGCAAAAGTAGAATCTTGCCAAATCAAGAAAGTATATTTTCAGCCTTACTAAATCTAGCTTCTAAAAAGTTGCTTCAAATCCTTTCATCTTGATCTTTATCTTTTCTTTCATGCCTTGACTTGATTTCTTGAAGAAAAATAAAAAATTATCTTTATCCAAAAAGCTTCCTAAATGCCCATACAAGGTGTATTTATAACCTATGCATAAT